GGTGGAGGAACAATGAACGAGATTTGCAACACCCATTGTAATACTGACTTTCTGTTTGAACAACCAATATCAAATGCTGTTCTGCTTGAGTCCCTAGAACCCAGATGGCATGCTAAGTATAGAGACTGCTTGTGCCATCCACACTTTTCCTTCAGCACAATTGTTAACAGATTAGTTGCAGATAGACAATACAAGTTTCCGAATGTTTTAGTGGTTTCGTTCATTATTGTAGCTTGTAGATGCTTCTCTTGTCTGCTTTCTTTTAGTAAATATTCTTTGGGGAAATTCAGGAAGGTATTGTCATGTGTGTCTGTGTTTTGCTTACTTGCCTCAAAACATGACTTTCTTTTTTTTCCCCAAGTTACTTAGCTACATGGACCTAGAAAGGGCAGAAAGCAATAATAAAATAAAATTCTGCAGTACCAGCCCGAGTCATGTGCTTTGCCATCCTAAATTTATTTTAACACTGTTGGCTATAACTAGTGTTTATGCATTACTTATCTGGAAGAAATACAGAACCCTTTGTAGATTAAAGTGTCAGAGTGATGATAGCTAACACTACATATGTGAATATATAATGGTAGTGTTAGTTGCTCTGTCGTGTCCAGCTCTTTGCAACTCTATTGTCTGTAGGCCACCAGGCTCCTCTGTCCATGGAATTCTCCAGGCAAGAATACTGAAGTGGGTAGACATTCCCTTCTCCAGAGGATCTTTCCAACCCAGGGATCGAACCCAGGCCTCCTGCGTTGCAGGCAGATTCCTTACTGCATTGCAGGCAGATTCCTTACCATCTGAGCGATGAGGGAAGCCCGTGTGTGTGTGTGGGGGGGGTGCGGGGGGTGTCTTTTTTCCCTCCCCCCAATATGTGTCACTTGATTTTTAAAGATTTCCAGGCTCTGTTCCTCTCCCAGAGTTGGACCTTTTTCCCTTTGTTTCCATTTTCCCTGCTCTGCTCAATTTTGATTTTACTTCTAACAGTTTTTCCTCAATATGGGGTCTGTCTTGGAATAGAGATTTGAGTGGTTGCTTCTGAAAATTCATGTGTCCCAAGCTGTTCTAGCCTCTTTTGGAACTTCTCAAAGACCCTTTGCACTCATATGCTCTTGGATGAGGCAAAACCGCTTCAGTTTTTACCTCCTGTATTCAAACTGGCCTGCCTGGTTCCAGTGAATGTCTTCTGGATTATCTGTTGATTCTCTTCTTACTCCCACGTGGCCTCTGGTACCGTATGTGCCTTGTGTGTGGTTTATCAGTACCTGTTCCTGTTTCAGCAATCAAAAGGATGAGAATTTTTCATTTAACTGTGTTGAAATTCTTTTCTTTTTTTTTCGCAATTTACTTGATGTAGATAGGTAATGGGCAGATAGATAGATACTGAGCTTTTTCTTTTAATATAGAAACTAAGGGATATTAAAAAAAAACTATGCTATCTCTGTCACTCTCCACCTGGAAGTTGACCTCACCATTATATTTCTCAGTATCTGAGTAGTTAAGCTTTTTTTGTTTATATTCAAACTTATAGTTTTAATTTTGTTTTAGTCTGATAATATAGTACATAAAACCCCTACCATTTGGAATTTTTAAGTAGTTTCTCTGCATAATGTACACTGTCTGCTTTTCTAAATGCACTATGGATTTAGGAAAAGATTTGTTTTCCTATTTTATATGCTCCTGATTCTGTCTGCTGTTTTCTAACAGATCTTTTTGAAAGTTCAATCTGTAGTTGCTGTCTCTACTTCCTCACATTACTTGTTCACCTTGTGTTCTCTGGTTAAATGAACATTCCCACCCCTTCATTGAAAGTGCATTTGTTTGTTACCCATGTGCGAGGTTGATGTCAAATTTAATATTAATAGTCATATTCCCATCTTCATCTTACTCAACCAACAAAACCAACCAGGACCTTCTTCTTGCAACATTCCTTTTCCTTGACATCCTTGACACAATTCTCTCCTGATTTCCTCCTACTTAACTGTTCAGTTTTTTGTTACTTCTAATAATGGGATGGCCCTAAACTTCCTTTTAGTTTTAAATGACTCATATCCAGTCTTTTCCAGGCCGTCTCACCTTTCACTCCAAATTACGTACCCGTCAACTTGTTTTTGTCTGCAAGGCTGTTACCCTTGTACAAGCTACTGTCATAGCTAGAAAAATCCAATGTCCCTTCTTGTTAATGTCCCTGCTTTTCTTTATCATCTCTTCCTCACCCAGCAGCCAGAATATTTTTCTTGAGAGTAAGATCATGTTATTATATGACTCAGCTCTTATAAAACATTCCAAACTCTATCATGCCAAGGACCCAGGTGAATTAACCCCAACTTGTCACACTGTACTCATTTTTAAGTATTCTTTCTGTAGCTCACAATACTGCAGCTGTTGTGACTTCAGTTTCTTAAACATCTCTAGCCTAAGCATGTTGTTCTCTCAGCCTCGAAATCTCTTCTAACAGATCTTTCTGTGGCTTTACCATTCTTATTTTTGTATGTCAGCTTACATATGGCTTCAGTAAGGCTGGCCGTAACTGCCTGACCTAAATTAGCTGTGTAGCCTTCTACTTCATCATATCACCTTATTTTTCTTTGGAACATTTGTCATTATCGAAAATTATGATATCCACTTATGAGTCTACCTGGTTATTTTCTGTCTCGTGCTATTGGGATGCAAATTCCAAGAGACAAGGGACTTTGTCTTATTTACAAGGTTGTCACCAGCTCCTAGAACAGAGCTTGTTTAAGCAGTATTTCTTTGAACTTTTCTTCATGATTTGAGCGACTGAATAAATTAGTTTTTTGTCTGCTTGTTCAGATCAGTTATGAAAGAGACATACATATTAAAATTTTACTATCTAATTATGTTACCTAATTCTCCTTGAAGTCCGACCTTCTGTTTTCACTTATTTGGCCTGTATTTTGGTGCATATAGGTTTATTATTTTTATGAATTATTTGTGCCTTGTATGTTTTATTAGACCAGGTTTTGATTTTGAATTTCACTTTGCTATTTATATTATCCTTCGTGGCTTTGTTGTTGTTTTTAAGAGCCAATTTTTTTTTTTTTTTACTCATGGTCCTTTATGTTTTGGCTATAGATGTGTCACTGTTGTGGATATGCTGTCTATAGAAAACATAAAGTAAATTATGCCTTTTAACATGATATGGAAATCTGTTTCTTTTGATGAGGATTCAGTCTGTTCACGTTTAATGCAACTGCTTCTATACTTCATCTTATTCTTTAATTTTTAAACTTATGTATTATTTATTTTGTTTCTTTTTTCTCTATATTTGCTAATTTATTCAAGTCTTTATTCAAGCTCTTTTTCTTTATTATTTAGATATTTCTCAATACTGTCTAATTTTACCTTCCTAATCCAATTTATTTTAAACCAATTTCATTTATTAGGATTTCAAAATAATTATCCTTTAGAAGAGTATCCAGTTAGTTCTCAATTGCTGTATTCTGAATCATCTTCTATGGTTTTAAGTTATTGTTGACAGTATTATTTGATAAGCTCTGTTGTAAGATACTCTCATGGACAGTACCTAGGGAGATGATTCATCTGTATCATTTCCATTTTAAAAGATGTTTGTTCTTAAATTTTTTTTTAATGTTTTCACCTAGAACCAATCTCCTACAGCAATTATCTTTCCTCAGTCTCTGTGTAAATGCTTTGTAATTCTTCAAATGCTTAGAAGCATTTTGGAAATGAATGCTATTATATTTAAGCTTTCATGTATATACACAAATTTAACTCTCTTCTCGACTGGCTATAATTCTTTGTTTTATACAAGAAACAATATTTCTTATTTTAGAATGCCATTTCAATTCCTTGCCCTGAAAACTGGTACAATTGTGAAATTCATTTCCTTTGTTTTCCTTCACTCGTGGATTATATCCCCGTCTGCATTTTGTTTAATGTCTGAAAATGGTTTCTCTGTATATTTTGTATAGTTTTTAGTTTTTTAAGATGAGAGAAATCTCATCTTTGTTAGTCTATTTTCACTGGAAGTGGAAATTGTACTACATAGTTTTGAAAGATTTTCATAAAAGATTATTAAAGGAGAAGGAGATTTCAAGAACTTAATTGTTCACCTCCAGCTACCTGGAAAAATTCACTAATGTTAACCAGCTCCTTTATACATGATATAAAAGCATGATACTTATTATATTATGCCTACTATATACCAGTTATTATGGTAATAATTTTATTTCTATTAATTAAGTTAGTCTTTCCTCTAACGCAGTGAAATAGATGCTTTTATTATTACTGTTCACACATGGGACAAAAATAGGTTAAATAGATTTCGAGAATACTTATACCTAATAAGTGAAAAATTGGATTTTCATATCAAGTATTCTCTATTCAGATGCTGCATTGTTGACTAGTACAATGTATAATAATTCTTCTTCAAAAAATGTTTTACAATATGATCTCTATAATGTTAACAAAAGTGGAGAATAACTTTAGATTATTGACTTCTCTTCTGAAATCATTAACATGAAAATATAAACTTTTGATATATTTTATTCTTTCAGGGGTTTATAACAAAATAATTGCAGCTTCATTAGACAATACTACACAAGAAAAACCAGTTCCCTCTGTTTCCTTCGTAGAGTTGAAATTAAGTTTTCTATCTCATAAGCAGTTATCAATTGTGTTGATAAAAAATATGATCATTATTAGATGTGCATTTGCATGTTTTAGTTAGGCATATTTCATAGAATTTCAAGTGACAGTCTTAGCATATATTAATGAAGTAATTTTATAATAGTTTTCTTAAAGCATTTAGTGTTATAGCCAGTATAAAGGTTGTCTTCAGCTGTTGGATATATGAGGTGTTGTCAATGAAATTTTGGTTCTAGCACATATGATTTATAATATGGTAACCCAAATCTCTTGATGATTTAAAAATATTGTATTTACAAATGCCATGAAATGTCACTACTTTGAAGAAGAACAAAGATTCAGTAAGTTTCAAACTTCCTTTTATTTTGGTTTTTCAGATTGCATTCTCACAACACAACACAATCATGGATCTTGTGCAGTTTTTTGTCACCTTTTTCAGGTAATTTGCTTTTATTGACTTTGGATGTGTTAAATCTGTATTCTGATGTCCTTTCAATCTGTTAGGAAATATCAGTTCTTTAACCTTGAATATGAAACAGTGTGTCTTGTATAGTTTTATATACTTTAATATATACCACAGAGCCAAAGAAACATATTTGACGTGTACTATTGCAGGATTATTTTGCTGTACTACTATTTAATAGCTAGTTAATTTAGTGGAAAGAAGATGATAACCCTGTATTCTACTGTCACATAAGTGATTAAAGCATTTTCATCATATTGATTAGGTACATTTCCTAGCATTAAAATCAATTTCTTGGATTTCTTAGGTTATTATTGTATGTGTTTAGCAATGTGATAAAATCAATAGGGGATGTGAAAAATGATGTATTTTTTGCCCTCAAAGAGCATGTAATCTGGAAGTACTAAATGTGACCTAGAATATACCATAATTTCCTAGAACTTTAGTTATTTGAGATGTTAACAGTAGGTTCACTAAAAAGGGTTCCATAATTAAATATGTTTGGAAAATACTATGTATACTAAAATTAAATAGGTCTCTTTTGGTTTGTTTTTAACTGACTTCCTCAGGTTTTTTTTTTCTCACAGTTTTTAATGTGTTAATTTGCAGTGTATTGTTCTAAAAGAGACGATAGAGTTTGTAGCATTTCTCAAAACCTAGAAGTTCTTTTCATAGAACTTTTATATTCATTTCCATGGGATGTAAATAAACAATGGGTGAGGAGAAGCTGAGTTTCAGTGATAGAATATCTGAGACATGGCATCTAGTTGGGTGGGATGGGGTGGGTGGGGAGGGAAGTTATCGAGGGAGGGGACATATGTATACATGTAGATGATTCACTGCATTGTACAGCAGGGACTAACATAACATTATAAAGCAGTTATACTCCAATAAAATAAAAAGACCTAGTTGGTCAATACAGTACTTAAAAACAAAAAAAAGAAAGAATATTATCTTTATTAACATGATTATGATGTATGCAGCTTATACTGGTCCACAGGGTGCCTTTGTGTGAATTAGACAATTGTGTCTCCTCCTTCTGGTAGACATAGCCCCACATCACACCACAAAGATGCAGATAATTTTGACCTTCACTCATCTAATTGTCTGGGCTGCTTTGTACAGTAAAGAACCTGTTAAACCCGGTCCTTGACACACATGGTATGCCCCGTACTTCCTCTGCACCTAAGCAAGTGATAAGTACTGGTTATCTTATCAAGATACCATACAATACTTGAATTCCTAATCCCTTATCTATAAAGTGTTGGTTATAAATAATTTCAAGATTTGTGGGCTATAAGGTGTCTGTGGTGCTAAAGCAGCCTGAGTCAGTTTGGAAACAAATGGGAGTGACTGTGTTCCAATAAACCTTTACTAGAGTATAAATAGCTGGTAGCCTGGATTCTGGGCTTCCCAGTTGGTGCTCATGGTAAACAATCTTCCTGCCAATGCAGGAGACATGAGACCTGGGTTCCATCCCTGGGTGGGGGAGATCCCCTGGAGGAGGTCATGGCTACCCACTCCAGTATTCTTGCCTGGAGGATCCCATGGACAGAGGAGCCTGGTGGACACTACTAAAGTGACTTAGCGTGCACGCAGGCTGAATTCTGCCTGTGGACACAATTTGCCCAACCACTGATCTAACTTATGCCTGAATGCCTTTAATGGCAGGAAACAGAACATCTCTTGTGATAGCATTTTCTATCTTCAGATAATTAGTTGTTCTTTATAATTGAGATGAAATCTGCCTCCCTGTGATAGCTTTTCTAATTTACCCATATGGGCCCATACATAGCAAGTCTAATTCCCTCATCTCCATTATGGCCTTCCAGTTTTCTAAACTCTTTTCTCCAATTCACACATTATCTGCTCCAGTATTTGCTTCTTGTCAGAATCCTTGCCATGTTAGTCACTTTGCTCTGAAAACAATCAGGTTTATCTGTCCCTTGAAAACATTAATTTCCAAAATTTAATGCTGAAAACATATTTCTTACTAACATTGCAAAGTTCATTCATATTTAAATTTGTCCCTTAATGATGAAATTTGAGGAAACATCTTAAATATATTTAAACATTTTCTGATTTTATACTTGTGAATATTAAGGGATATTAAAACTTAATGACGTTACAATGTTTTTGAAAAGTGTTAAAAGTTATCAAATGAGCTTTATTTAATGCATAAGAATAAAAGTTTTTGACAGGATAATGTAGACGTTAATATACTGAAAACTTTATTTTGTATAAAAATTCACAAAGCTGAATTTATAAATTATTTAAATGTTTAGAGTTTTATTTTAAGCTTTTGAATTTGATGCGTGTTTAAGTTCAATAGCTCTTTTATTAAGTAAAATAAAGCAAGTGTTAATGTGTACCATGTCTTAGAGATGATCCTATTTATTATGTCGGCATCATAGACAAAGTAATATACTCTAGTTATTGTGTGAGATAAAATGTATTTGATAGGTTTTTTTATCATTTAAATTTTTTCAGTAGTGAAATGCAAATTAGATGATTTTAAAATTGTCTCATTGTTAAGGAAAATCATGGACAGAATACTTTTAAGTTTATTTTTATATTAAGTAGACTTACTGTTAAATTTTAAAAGAGAGTTTTAGACAGTTCAGCATTTATGGACATCCTTCAATCAGGCCACTATTACTGCTATTGCTGTCTCTGTATTACTGAAGTAGTATAGATGAAGTGTCAGCCTTTCTTTTAGCCAAGGTTTAAAGGAGGCCAGTGCCAGATTTTTACTTTTATATTGGGAATAGTTCTGGTGGTAAACATAATTCAGTCAGTACTGGTTAGATCATTTATAGTCATAGCCTGTCTCTGATCTTAGCTTTCTGCGCCATCTAAACATCTAAACCTAGTACCTCTAAATCTCAGTCCTTTTAGGTTTTTATTTTGTATTGGAATATAGCCAATTAACAATGTTGTGATAGTTTCAGGTGAGCAGCGAAGGTATTCAGACATATATAAACACACACATATACATATGTCCTTTATCATAATAGAATTAAAAGGTGTTGTTAGAGTCTATAGTGTACAGTAATATATAATAGTGAGTAATTAAAAAATTGAAAGAAATCATCTAAGAAATAAAGACTTTTCTGGTATGTAAAATGGAAAAGCAAGTCTGTGTGAATCTGAAAAGTCTGAATTTTTAAAGAAGTTCAGCCTGGTAAATTAAATGGAGATATAGCAAAGACCCTGTACCATTTAGATTTTTAATAGTGGTTCTAATTTTCACTGTCCTACAAGGATTACATAATGTTTTTGATTTACCATCTTGACCAAATGGAAGGTGTTTTCAGAGGTTGCCACTTGGTGTTTCCTGCTGTGATCGATCTTACCTCACAGGCCAGAGACACAATGTAGGGCTTTACTCTAACCACTTTGTACATAAATTCTAATTATACACTTGAAAAGTAAGGAAATTATCTCTTGTTGTTCAGTCACTAAGTTGTGTCTGACTCTTTGTGACCCCATGAACTGCAGCCAGGCTTCTGTGTCCATCACTATCTCCTTGAGTTTGCTCAAACTCTTATCCATTGAGTCAGTGATGCCATCTAACCATCTCATCCTCTGTTGCCCCCTCCTCTTGCCCTCAATTTTTCCCAGCATCAGGGTCTTTTCCAATGAGTCAGTCAGTTCTTCACGTCAGATGGCCAAAGTGTTGGATCTTCAACATCAGCATCAGTTCTTCCAATGAATATTCGGGGTTGATTTCCTTTAGGACTGACTGGTTTGATCTCTTTGCAGTCCAAGGGACTCTGAAGAGTCTTCTCCAGCACCACAGTTCAAAAGCATCAATTCTTCAGCATTCAGCCTTCTTTATGGTCCAACTCTCACATCCGTACATGACTACTGGAAAAGCCATAGCTTTGACTATATGGACATGTGTCAGCAAAGTGATATCTCTGCTTTTTAATACACTGTTTAGGTTTGTCATAGCTATTCTTCCAAGGAGCAAGCATCTTTTAATTTCCTGGCTGCAGTTACCATCCACATTGATTTTGGAGCCCAAGAAAAGGAAATCTGACACTGTTTCTACATCTTCCCCATCTGTTTGCCATGATGTGATAAGACCGGATGCCATTATCACAGGGTGGATGTATAGACACAGTTTGCCCAGTATGAGCCAGGATTTAGCCAGAATTTGTTATCTGGACCCTGGAGACACCCCAGCTCTAACAAGGGGCCGTGGTGGTGTTCTAGTCATTGGCTATCTGTGTCATCGCTGACCCTGTGTCTTATAGTGATGAAAATATCTATTAATTTGTCTTGCACTGAGTGTATACCCACAAATATACTTGTGTATATCCCCAGGTAAACACGAATCTCTTTATAAAGTAGTCATACACATGCTCCTTTGGGAATCATTTTATACACTTTCTACGATGTTTCAAGACAGCCTTTCTTCTGTTAACTCAGCTACCAGTTCAGTCAGTAGATTCTGGATTTGTAGATGAACTCATCTTGGAGCTGAGCAGAGGATCACAATCATCTCTTGGGTCGACAACCCTCCGCCTTTACTCCTCCATTCCTACTTTAAGTAAGTTAAGTAGCACCATTGCTAGCTGCCCACCTATTTTGCCCCTTGTATAGATACCATCCGTTATAGTCATCCCACAGCTCTTTGTTGCGCAGCACCCTTGTCTGCTTCTCTAGGCTTGTTGGTCGTTATCCTAATTGTGACCGCTGGATTCTGACAGTTAAACACTGACCCTTGGTCTTTTTTACTTTGGGACTCCATCACTTAACACCTCGCTCTGTCACTGCCTCTCCTGTTGTCAGCTTTGATCTTCAGAAGAAAGCCACCACTGAACTTCTTACTGAGCTTTCATCAGCAGATTCCTCATGGCCTCGGTGAGTGATGCGTCCCATGGCAAGTAATCTTCTGGTAGTTCTTCTGACCTTACATAATGCAGTCTTTCTGGTACATTTCTTCCTGTCAGCTTCTTTATCCTCTT